AAGGCTGTTGGTGAAAAACTACATCTGAGCGTTTACCTTCGCCTTTTCCACCATCAGTGAAGTGGAGCATCTTTGACATCTACTGGCCACGTGCACGGCTTCTCTTTCGTGCACGTGTTTGTCCTCTGTCTCCTTTTACAAATCTGACCTGTTAGAGTTCTCTGTACCACAGGGACCTTAGGCCTTTCTCTGACCTAGAGGTTATTAGGAATATTGTTCCAGTTTGTGGTTTGACTCTCCATCTTTTGACACGTTTCCTTGTTTTTGTTTTGGCCACAGAGAAGCGCCAGCTGTTTCCTTTACGGCTTCTGGCTCTCATCTCATAATTGGGAAAGCTGTCCCTCCCCCATGATTATGAAAACATGTAGTAATAAGGTTCATTTTTTACATATAGTCTCTGACCCATTTGGGATTTGCTTTTTCACTAAAAAAAAAAAAAGTTACTATTAATGAAAACAAGAACTCATCAGTCCTGTCGATGGAGAATTTGTTCTCACTCCGGTGGAGTTGGGCAGTTGGGGAAAAGCAGACCCCCCCAGGCCCATCACCCTGTGCCTCACCAACCCCCTGGGGCCAGGGCACAAGGCCACTGGTGCCACTTACTTGCAGCCTGGACATCGTCGATGGTCAGCACTTCATCCAACTGCAGCAGGAACTTCTCGGTGAAGGTGGCCAGGCTGGCTATGAAAAACTGACTGGACTTCCTGGTGAACTCCTGGAGGAAACAGGAGGAGCCTGGTGCTGGAAGGGGAGGAAGCGGCCTCCAAAGGCAGGCTGAGGGAGGATCTGCGGAGCCAGCGGGGGAGAGAGGACCAAAGCCGTGTGCCAACTGTGTCCCAGTTAACTGGCATCTGGTCCTCGGCCGGAGGCCTCTCCCAAGAGGTAACTTGGCCTGAAGGAAATGATTCAGAAATGGCCAAGGGATGCACCTAGACAACTCACTCAAGACGAAATAAAACCACTGTGGATCTTAAAAAAAAAGCTCTCATTAGTAATTCTGTAATCAATTCATTTAGAAATGAAAAACTGCAAGTTAAGACAGCCAGTAATGACCATCTCCACTATAAAGCCTGTCTGCTTTCCTGCCCTGCTTTGGGCAGGGTGCCGGCAGAGGGCGTGCTCAGCGCTGCTGGTGGGCTGTCAATGGGGGCATCTCCCTGGCGGGCAGTGCAGCCCTCAGCACCTGCACGTGGGGGTCAATGGCGCCACTGACCTCCAGCTTCTCCCTGGCTGTTGTGATCACGGTGTCCAAATCTTCCTGCCTTTCCTCTTCCCCCTGACATAGAGACTCCATTTCTTGGACATGTGCAGGGTGTCCGAGATTTGGATGAAGCTTCTGGGCATTTTCATCCTTCAATCAAACAATCCAGAAATCAGTGTGGATTTTGACCTGGTCTTGAATTCAGGACCAGAAAGTCACTGGCCTATGATATCCTCTGCTAATTACGGCCATGGCCAGACTGATGTGTGCTCTGACCTGGGTGTGTGAAGGGCCATGGATGGGCAGAGGAGTGGCAGAGAAGGCAAGAGAGGGGCCTGACTGGAGCCGACTCTGAGGGTTAGGAGAGGGCGAGCTGAGCATTTGCCCCAGCACAATCAGGGCTTTAGTCCAATAAAATCAACAACACCCACATCCCACGTCTCCAAGGACCAGGTGGAGAATCATTGTTCATCGCAATGACCACGGCCCCACAGAAACCAGCTGACCCACCCATTAAATCCAACGAGGAGTTACTGAACGCCTTCCCTGAAGGAGCAGATGGCTCCGTTCTCATTTCTCCAATGCCTTCTGTCCCTCAGCCCCCATCCAATAACCACAAGCCTGGCCCACCTCCTTCCCTGGGATTCAGTTCTTCCTATGCCCTGCTCCCACTTCTGAACTTCCAGGGCCCCTGGTCCTGGAGAGGAAGGGGGATCTTGGGCCCCCCACCTTCCTTTTCTCCAGCTGCTTCTGATATTCCCAGAACTGTCCCCTGATCTCTTTGGTGGAGTCAAAAAGTCATCTGTAGTGGTGCTCCTTGAAATTCTCCATCACCAGCCAACACACCTGGGGCAGCAGCTCCTCAAATCTCATCTGGGCTCATAATTCTCTAGGAATTGGGGGTTGAGGCCCAGGGGAGAAGACAGAGCAGAGCCACGTTGTTGAGGTGATCTCTCTAACAAAGGCCCAAAGAAGTTTCCCAAAGAGAAAGACTTGGTCTACAAGGTGCTAATAGCTATTTCATCTAAAGTGGTCCCATGGTCAAACCAGTATAGGAAATACCGGATTAAACAAGTTCAAAGGACTTCTCTTCTATACTCTGCAGGACTTTTCAGCCCCTTTAAAATGCATGTGTCTTTCAGCAGTTCTGTCTCATCCATTATCTCTTCAAACATTGCCTTGACTCTAGTCTCCTTCCTCTCCCTCTGAACCTCTAAAGAGCTATGTGTTAGACCCACTCTTTCATCCATGTCTCTTCACCTCTCTCCCATGTTTTCATCTCTTTGTTTTTCTGTGCTACATTTTGGATAATTGTTTTGGATCTACCTTCCAGTGCACTGATTTCACCTCCAGCTGTGAATAATCTGGTAGTAAAGCCAGTCATAATTCTTAAATTTCAACTATTTATTTTCCCAATATAGAAGTTCTTTTATTTTGTGTGTGTGTGTGTGAGGAAGATCAGCCCTGAGCTAACATCTGCTGCCAATCCTCCTCTTTTTGCTGAGGAAGAGTGGCCCTGGGCTAACATCTGTGCCCATCTCCTTTATATGGGACGCCACCACAGTATGGCTTGACAAGCGGTGCATCGGTGCATGCCTGGGATTCGAACCTGTGAACCCCAGGCCACTGAAGCGGAGCACATGCACCTAACCTCTATGCCACCAGGCCAGCCCCCAACATAGAAGTTCTATTTGGTTCTCTTTCATATCTACTTGGTGATTTTAATAGTCCCTTGCTCCTTACTCATGTTTCCAATTTCCTCTTTTATTTAACTCTAATAAATACAGCATTTTATATTCTGTGTCTCATTCGTTCAATATCTGAAGTATTTACTGGTCTCATTCTGCTGCCTCATGCTCAAGGTGCCTTTTTTCCTGGTGTTTGTGTGTGTGTTTTGTTTGTTGTTTTGTACCGGAAGCACTTATTCTGGGCATTTGTGGGAATCCTTGGAGGCCTGAATTGAAGGTGGGTTTTTCTAGAGAGAATCTGTAGTGTCTCTACTAAACACGCATCTGGGCATAAGTAACTCAAGATCATTTTAAGCCAAAGTATCAGCTAGAGGTCTTTTGGAGGATCTGCAACACCAAAGGTGATTTCAGGTTTATTTAAGCATGACTTCAGGTTTAAAACCCACATAAAGGATGGAGATGTCAGCATCATGGCAGAGTGAGCTCTTCCCTTAGATTCTCTCCCCTAAGATACAATGAAAAGGACATTCACAAACCAAAAGAGGACATTCACACAACACAAAAGATGTCTGAGAGACCCAGGCAGCCATACGTCTGAAGGTGTAGGTGGTGGACCCCCAGGAGGAAGTGTCAGGAGGAAGGGGATCTCCTTTCCCTCTTGGCAGCGACTTAGGGTGTGGGACTGTGCGTGGCTCTGAGAAAAGAGGGGGGAAGGGTGGCTGCCCACGGGAACGCCTTCACTCTCCGAGCTGTCTCCCAGCCATGGTAAACCCCACACAGAGGAGGCTAAGCTATTTCAGGGGTGTCTTCATCAAGCGAGCACCCCAGGAGAGCAGATAGCCCCTGGGATCGCACATGTGAAAGAAGGCGCCTCTCCCCCTCCCCTGGCACTCCAGCTCAATTGGTCGGCCAGAGAGTCCGTGCATATGTTAGAAATGCAGAAGCTGCAAGTGAGTGAGTGAGCTGCCAATCGCATACAGGCCCTGTCAGCATAGATTCCAAAGGACAGGCAAAGACACCAGGGATCGTGGTGGGCTCAGAATACACAGCTCGTTACCACCACGACCCCGCCAGTGGCGGCAGGTAGAATCTGTGACCAAATACTATCACTATGCAAAGCCACAAATCCATGCTATAAAATAGTATGAAGGAATATATTAATACTCCAGACCTGAAGGAAAATGACGAGCACCCAGAAATCAGTCCCAAAGGCACAGAAATTACAATCTAAATGACAGAGAATTCAAAATAGATATCATAAAAAAACTCAACAAGTTGTAGGGAAATACAAATAGTTCAATGAAATCAGGAACAAAATTAATGAATAGAGGAAATTCTTCACAAAAGAGATTGAAACTATAAAGAAAAACCAATCAGAAATGTTGGACATGAAAAACACAGTGGATGAGACAAAGAAAAACCTGGAGTTCCTGAATAACTGATATTATGGAGGACAGAATTAGCAATCTGGAGGACAGAAATATAGAAATGCTTCAGATGGAGGAGGAGAGAGAACTAAGACTGAAAAGAAAGGAAGAAATTCTCCAAGAAATAACCAACTCAATTAGGAAATGCAAAATATGGATTATAGGTATTCCAGAGGGAGAAGAGAGGGAGAATGCAGCAGAAAGCTTGTTCAAATAAATAACAGCTGAGAACTTCCCAAACCTGGGGAAGGAGCTGGAAATACAAGCAAAAGAAGCTAATAGAATTTCTAATTATATCAATGTAAAAAGACCTTCTCCAAGGCATATCGTAGTATACTTGGAAAAAGCCAATGACAAAGAAAAAATATTAAGGGCAGTAAGGCAGAAGAAAATAACTTACAAAGGAACCCCTATCAGGCTTTTGGTGGATTTCTCAGCAAAAACTTTACAGCTAGGAGAGTGGAATGGTATATTCAAAATTCTGAAAGACCAAAACTTTCAGCCAAGAATACTCTATCCAGCAAAAATATCCTTCAGATATGATGCAGAAATTAAAACTTTCCCAGATAAACAAAAGCAAAGGGAGTTTATCGCCACAAGAGCCCCCCCCCACCAGACATGATCAAGAAGGCCCCCATACGTGAAAAAAAAAGAGAGAGATTACAAAGCCTTGAGCAAGGAAATACAGAGGCAGAAAAAATCAGAAAATTGTAGCTCTCTAGCAGAACAGGTTAGAAAATAGTTAATTATTAAAGATAAAAGGAAGAAAAACATCAAAAATAAATATAATCTTGTCATTTTAACCACAAACTCACAACACAAGATGGAATAAGTTGTGACAACAACATCTTACAAGGGGAAGAGGAAATGGATGGAATCTGCTTAGACTAAGGAACTAAGAGGCTATCAGAAAATGGACTATCTCATTTAGGGGATCTTTTATACAAACCTTATGGTAACCACTAAACAAAAAAGCAGAATAGAGACACAAATGATAAATAATGAGAAAACCATCATAGAGAAGTACCAAACTGAATTGGCAGTCTAAAATACATGGGACAAGAAATGAGGAAAAAACAGAACAACTGGAAAACCAGTGATAAAAGGGCAGCATTAACCCTCATATATCAATAATCACTCTGAATGTAAATAGATTGAATACTCCAATCAAAAGACACAGAGTGGCAGGATGGATTAAAAAACAAGACCCAACAATATGCTGTCTCCAGGAAACACATCTCAGCTCTAAAGACAAACATAGGCTTAGAGTGAAGGGATGTAAGACGATACTCCAAGCTAACGGCAAAAAAAAGAAAGCAGGTGTTGTCATACTTATACGAGACAAAGTAGACTTCAAGATAAAACAGGCAATGAGAGACAAAGAGGGGCAGTATATAATGATAAAAAGGACACTCCACCAAGAAGACAAATCACTTATAAATATATATGCACCCAACACAGGAGCACCAAAGTACATAAAGCAACTATTAACAAACCTAAAAGCAGATATTAAGAACAACACAATAATAGTAGGGGACCTCAACACCCCTCTTACATCAATGGATAGATCATCCAGACAGAAAGTCAATAAGAAAATAGTGGAATTAAATGAAAAATTACACCAGATGGACTTGATAGATATACACAGAACACTCTATCCAAAAAGGGCAGAATACATTCTTCTCAAGTGCACATGGAACATTCTCAAGGAAAGACCACATGTTGGGGAACAAGGCAAGATTCAATAAATTTAAGAAGACTGAAATCATATCAAGCATTTTTTCTGACTATAATGCTATGACAGTAGAAATCAGCTATAAGAAAAAAGCTGAGAAAGTGATAAATATGTGGAGACTAAACAACATGCTACTGAACAACCAACAGATCATTGAAGAAATTAAAGAAGAAATCAAAAAATAGCTGTAGACAGATGAGAATGAAAATATGCCACACCAAATCATATGGGATGCAGCAAAAGCATTCCTAGGAGGGAAATTCATAGCCTTACAGGCCCAGCTCAACAAACAAGAAAAATCTCAAATAAGTAATCTTAAACTACACCTAACAGAATTAGAAAAAGAACAAACAAAGCCCAAAGTTAACAGAAGGAGGAAAAGAATAAAAATTAGAGCAGAAATAAATGAAATTGAAACAAACAAACAAACAAAAAAATAGTAGAAAAGATCAATGAAACTAAGAGCTGGTTCTTTGAGAAGATCAACAAACTGACAAACCCTTAGCCAGACTCACTAAGAAAAAAAGAGAGAAGGCTCAAATAAATAAAATTAGAATAGAAAGAGGAGAAATTACAACAGATACCACAGAAATACAAAGGATTATAAGAGAATACTATGAAAAACTACATGTCAACAAATTGGATAACCCAGAAGAAATGGATAAATTCTTAGATTCATACAACCTCCCAAAACTGAATCAAGAAGAAATAGAGAATCTGAATAGAGCAATCACAAGTGAAGAAATTGAAACGGTAATCAAAAATCTCCCAAAAGATAAAAGTCCAGGACCAGATGGATTCTCTGGAGAATTCTACCAATCATTCAAAGAAGATTTAATACCTATTCTTCTCAAACTATTCAAAAAAATTGAAGAAGATGGAATACTTCCTAACTCATTCCATGAGGCCAACATCACCCTGATACCAAAACCAGAC